TCTTGTGCACATATCATTATTCATATCACTTGGTCAGTGACGGCTCGTCAGGGACGGCAGGGTCGGCCGGGCCGTACCAAATAATTTGGGGAAAATTACTGAACTATTTGATGAATACAATTATTTTCCGAAACTGTTTTCATAATTCATCGTTCATTATCCTACTGTTATGCCACTATTATTTCAATTTCATTCATTGGAACCTTTGAGTATGCCATCCGCATATACTCCGAAAATCACGAACTAATTCAGGACCTACGACATCTGGTAATCCCATCGTCAAAACGCCGCTTTAAGTTGAAACGCTCGCGTAGCTCATTACACTGATGCAGACGGCCGGCCGATCGGTGGTTTCTTGTCTCGACCAATCTCGACGCATCGCCTACAGATTCCCCGCTTCAAGTTTGAATTCTCGCGTATACGCGAACGATACGCGTCATACCTTGGGTGCGGCCAAGCTCTGCTGGCCGTCCGTACGTACGTTATCAGTAGTTTGCAGTGCGCTCGCTGTGCACCGTATCCGACCATTCCGACCTAATTTTTAATATACGGATTGGCATGATTGACATTCTATTTTATTTACATTGTAGGTATTTATAATTTTTATTCCCATACTTATTTGTAAGTTGATGTTGAAATTTGAAATGTACAAACTGAAAAAAAAAAGAAAAATTCGATGTTTTTGTTCACGTTTGCAGTAGTTGCAGTAAAAATGACTGGTGATTTTTGAATTTGCAATTTTTCAGTGATTCATAATTCAACATATCCATCTAATATTGGTATCAGAATTTTCCTTCAGTGCCTCTGAGCGTCAATAAGTTATAATTCAATTTGAATATTGTAATGTAACCTACTGTGCCTCTGCCTATGAAGGTAATATGGCAAGAAAAATGTCAGCAGTCCAAGAGCTGAGTAGGTATTGAAACATCGTAAAAAAGCTGTGGTGACGAAAATGTAATAAATGTATAACTTCCAGAATATCATTTATTTTGAAAGACGCATGTAGCGGTTATAAATAATATTTATGCATCCATCGCGGGAAACATTATACCAGAGATTATACACTCCTGATTATACCTACGGCTGCACGGCGGGCTCGGCCAGCCGACTACGAAGGAGTGGGGTGGCTTGTTACAGGAACGGCGTAGATCGCGTAGAGCGTAGACTGGCGTAGACCGATTTAGTCATTGTTGTGCTTTTCGCGTTAGGAGAGTGGTTGTCGGTTATGTTGATTTTTTTGAGTTTACGTTACGTTTTCAACAGAATATAAATATTTTTTGTTCACGAGTTATTTTATTTTTATTTTCTTTCATTTTATTTACTTGTTATTATTTTTATTTCTGACAGTGACATTATAAGCTTATATCGTCATAGTTACGATATCTATAATGAGGGTCATAACTCCTTTGGGATGTTATAGATGCTATAATTCCCTCTAGCTAAAATTAAATAAGAAATGCATAGCAACAACCACGCAATAACGTAGCAATAAGGAATCTCCTATTTGCGGTAGTCAAGATCATCATCTGACGTTCTGATGACATTGAAACTATACGGAAAAACATGTCTAACTTCCAATCGGGAAGGTATCTAATGAATGAAATCAGTCAGAAATAAAATTATCTATGTATCACGGGAATTATAGAGCCTTAATAACCTCTGGCAATTGCTGTCCCTCGGGCCAGAAGCCCTCGGGACGCAAACTTTGCCATCGGTAATTAAGGCCCTATAACTATTTCATACCAACTAACCCTTATCCACCTCCTTTTCCTTTCCCCATTTCCCCTGGCGAGAATGCTGTAACCTCGTGGTTCTTGCTGGACAATTTAATTTTATGGTTATGTGTACAGGGTGATTCACCATAAATGTCCCCCCCTCTAGCTCAGTTATTTTTAAACCGATTTCAAAATTTGAAATATCATCTTATTGAATGATTTTTGATTGAGTTTTTTTCCGCTACATCAGAAAATACAGGGTGCTCAGAACAAACGATCTACAGGGTACCATTTGATTTTTTTATATGGAACACCCTTTTTCATTGTATTTTTAGATTCCCCCTGAAAAGCTGATTTGCTCAATGTATCACACTTGGGGTCTATCGGGAATGATTACAGAGATATAGGGTGTTCAAAATCGAGATTTTTTAACTTAAAGATTTTTTTGAGACGAAACTATTCATCATCGGTCAAAACGGCTTCCATGTCCATATCTCAACTTTTGATTTACTATCTACTGACATTTAATAATTGGAACAGATACAGGGTGATCAGAATTCTGAATCTTGAACCACCCTGTAAATGTTCCAATCAAATCTCAATAGACAGTTAATCAAAAATTAAGATGGAAACATAGGAGCCGTTTCGACCAATAATGAATAGTTTCGAGACAAAAAAATCCTAAACTTGAAAAATCTCGATTTTGAACACCCTATATCTCTGTTCAAGTTTCGTTTAGCTGAAATCAGTTATGGAAAATTTGTCGCTATGGCAACCGTTGTCATGGTTACAGGAAAATAGAAAACAAAATCCCGTGGTGAGGAAATGCATGGTTGCCAAGTATTGTATCGGGTTTAGTATAGCTGAAATCAGTTATGGAAAAACTGTTGCCATGGCAACGATCGTCATGGTAACGAGTAAACAAAAATCCGTTTCCCGTGGTGAGGAAATGCGTGGTTGCCAAGTTGTTTCGGGTTTAGTATAGCTGAAATCAGCCTCAAATTTTGTTCCACAAAAGTGCTAGTATTCAAACAATAACTTGATTCGAATGAATACCCTTCTTATCAATTTCTTGAAGACTGTTCGTCGTTGATTAATTCCCAAAATTACTACTTCTCTGACGATCATATATGGAAATAACGTCAGGAAAAAATAGGCTTTGTTATTGAACAAATAGCGTATAAGGAAGGATACTACTTTTTCTAAACAATCTAACCTAACTCGGCTTGAATGAACCTTAGAAAAAAAATATTTTTCAACATCGATCAGATTTGGGAGCAAGGCATCGTTCGTGTGTGTTTGAAGACTGCATGAAAAAGAACACTACTTTTTCCAAACAATCTAACCTGACTCGACTTGAATCAACCTTCTTCTTGAAAAACATATATTTTCCAACATCGTTCAGATTTGGTAGCAAGTCATCGTTCGTGTATGTTCGAAGACTGTTGCTGAATCAAAATGTGCGCCTGAAGAAAGGTATGGGTGAATCGAAATGAAGGCAAATGGAGATGTGGGTGGGGCTAACGAGATGTTTCCATCTGTATTAGACAATCAGTACCTGTAGTCTCTCTTCCTATATCCTGCGCGATACCTCGTAATGAATATTCCAAAATGGCTCTGTTTCTTTTTGATTTTGTCGAATAGCTCAGCACGCGAAGGATGGTTACATTGAAGTGTTCAAAAAATTTATGAATGAAGCAATAATTCTCCGATACAACTTGGCAACCACGCATTTCCTCACCACGGAAATCGGATTTTTGTTTACTCGTCACCATGACGATCGTTGCCATCATGGCAATAGTTTTTCTAAAACTGATTTCAGCCAAACTGAACCCTATACAACTTGGCAACCACGCATTTCCTCACCACGGGAATTGGGTTTTTATTTACTCGTTACCATGACGATCATTGCCATGGCAACAGTTTTTCCATAACTGATTTCAGCTATACTAAACCCGATACAACTTGGCAACCACGCATTTCCTCACCACGAGAATCGGGTTTTTGTTTACTCGTTACTATGACGATCATTGCCATAGCAACAGTTTTTTCATAACTGATTTCAGCTAAACGAAACTTGAGCCCTGTTATCATTCCCGCTAGACCTCAAGTGTGATGCATTGATAAAATCAGCTCTTCAGGAAGAATCTAAGAATACAATGAAATACAGGGTGTTCCATTTGGAAAAATCGAGTAGTACTCTGTAGATCATTTGTTCCGAGCACCCTGTATTTCCTGATGAAACGGGAAAAAAATTCTGAGAAATCATTTTAGATCATCCTTCAAATTTTTAAATCGGGTCAAGAATAAAGTGAGCTAGAGGGGGGGGACAATTATGGTGAATCACCCTGTACATGCTTATTTGCCATCGAACTTCACTAAAGCCGCTGACCCAACGTGTTACGTTCGCATTTTAGAGCAATATCTATACCCTGGCCGACCCAGGTTCTGAGGGCACGAGCCGTCACTGCTCTTGGTACATGTCCCATTGTTCAGATTTAGAAATTCTTATATTTCGCCTACTCGGTGTGAAAAAAAATGTTTATAGTTTCTACCATCTCCATTGATCCAATGTAATATGCTAGCTTCTTCGTCATTTCATCGTGGTCAATATTTTTCCAAAAGGTCTTCAGTTCTTCAGATGCTCCACGGAAATTTTCCATCATCCTTTGTACGGCCATAATTGTACTGTCTGCAGAGAGTGAGTGCACTATTTCGAGGTGAATCGCTCTGATACCCATGCATGTAAAAAGTACTCCCCATCGTTTCTCTTTGTGTCCCCCAACTGTCACATAAAATTGCCCAAAAGCATCAATTCCACAGTAGGTAGGTCAGTCGGCATAAAGGCAGTTGTCCCATTTGAGGATGTTCTGGTCTAGCTTTCTTAATTTTATAGATTCGGCTCGAAGGACCATGTAATAAATTGGAACTATTTTGTATAGTGAAATCGAATTATAGGTCAATGACAACTACACTAGTTCAATGTCTTAATCCCAATGTGTCCATTTTTTTACTGAGTGATATTACAACCAAATTTAAGCAAATATTACGAAATATTTAACACTATGCTCATTCCAGACTTTCCTCAATAACGATCAATAATGAAGTTTCGTAAAGAAATATCGTTCCTGAAAAGAAATAGACAATGTCAGCTGACATGACATGCAACCTCACCCGTGCCATCTGATTCGAGTTTTCCAGATTACCTGCCATTGCTATGCAGTCAAGCAGTTCGCAGTCGCGACATTAGTACGGAAAAAAACAAGCAAAAAAAATACATCTCACCATCAGTTCCTCGTTGATGATCATCTTCGATATGATCGAGTGCACGACCGGCTTGTCCAGCTCGAACATATCCGCCAGCACGGCCATCGAGATCGAGTCGTACACGTGCGAATACGTGAACAGGTACGTGCGTAACGCCTCCTCCTTGATCAGCCGCGTCAGCATCGCTCTCACGCCGTCCGCCCGGTAGAAGAGGTCCCACACCTTGCCGCTCATCTTCTCGTTGATGATGAACGCGTTGCAGGCCGCCCAGTTGCCGTTGCGCATCGCCTTCGCGGCGGCCACCACGTGCTCACGCATGCTCTCCGGCGGGCCAACGAGAGACTAGAAGAACAGAAGATTATGGTTGTGGACGTCGCGTACGGTCGACTGGATGATTTGACAATAGCGTTTTTATTGCTTTGAGCGTATGCTCAGACTGTTTTGTCAAGTGATATCATTCACACGAGCGGTTTTCCAGCGGTGCATGAGGTACATTGTTGTCAAGTTGGCAGATCCGTGATGGCTATCATTGATATTGAGAAATTAATTCAAGAAATTGAAGACTGGCAATTTTGCATATGCGGCATAATGATCTGCTGATAAAATAAAAATGAAACGCTGTTGGAAAGAAATTGTGGAGTTATTTTTCGTGTGCGACTTCAACAGAAAAAAATCAATGACTCATAAAACGAATCTCGAATTTTTCGTCATCTCTTGTAATTTCATCCTTGAATAAAGTGAAAGACGAAATGAAATTGGGTGTACCCACATACGCCTGTTTCTTGTTTTCTTTCAACGACAAAAAATTAGCAAGTTCTTTCGAAATACTTCAATTCTATAGAATGCATGTTAATTGTAATTGTAGTATGGTATTGGCACAACAGTTCTTGTGATTTATTTGTTTGGTGTACAGCAAAGTTTCTGATACCTTGACACCCCGACGCCGAAGGTAGGCGTACTGATGGACTATCCAATATCCAACAGAAACTCATCCTCCCTGTCTGACAACATTGTCCCTACTGACTCGCTCTTTATTGAAAACCGCATGTTTTGTCTTCACTATGTGCTATCACACGCTATTACCTCTTATCGCGTTGCGTTATTCTTTCTTATTTATATCAACTCCATTGCAAATTTGAAGTGGAAAGGTAAAATTTATAAGTCTGCCGATGACACAACCTTGATCTATTCAGCAGGTTCAGCACAACAAATTAGGGATGACATTTCAAGTGATTTGAAAATATTATCATGGTTATCATGTTATAAATTGAGTATAAATTATAGTAAATCAACATTTATGTTCATCTAAAAAAAATCAAGAAATAATGAGTACAAATTTCCAATTGCATGTCATAATGAAGTCATCAGATTTTCAAATAATATCAAGTTTCTTGGGCTGTACATAGATGAACATTTGTCATGGTCAAAACATATTAAAATACTGAGAAAAAAATATATCCAATAATAGGTATACTTTTTAGGGTACGGAATCAAGTTCCTATAAAATGTCTCAAATTTATATACTGCTCTTTGATCTATTCTAAACTTGAATATTTGATTTATGTATGGGGTTCATCAAAACTATCAATTATAAAGTCTCAAAACTCTTCAAAATGAAATAATCAAATGTATATACAGACTAAATTATTCGGAACCTACTATGAATCTTTACAGAAGGAGAGAGTTATTAGATATAGATTCACTATATAAATTCAAATGAATGTCGTTCATTCATTCAGTTAAACATTGTCGAAAGCATTCAAATTTGGTTTTCCAAATTAATAGTAATCACCACAGCAATACAACTAGACAAGCAGATCATTTTTCTGTCAAGAAAATTAAATCAGATATTGGTACAAAATCCATCTATCATAATGGAATAATACAAAACAATTCAGTACCAAATATCTTGAAGCTGACTAATTGGATTGAAAAATTCAAAAAGGAATTCAAGAAACATCTACTCCTGTAATATTGACATCTTATCTGCTTTTTATAGTTTTCTTGTAAAATTACTAATGTTTTTATTGGGTACCTAACAGCTGAGTCAATTGAGAATCATTTTCAGTTGAACTTGAAAAACAAAAAAGATTCTTCTTGAGCGTGAGTATTATTTTACTGTCATCATCATCATCATCATCATCAAAATACTTTATTGTCTGAAGATAGATACATCTTATTGACAAAGTCTGGAATCCTAAATTTAAATTTAAAAGTTGATAGTTCAAATATACACACAAATGTTGGAAACAGTTTTTTGGACAATACACAAAATAGTCAATCAATAATACAAATAAAAATAAAAAAAATTTTGTCGACACATCATTAAAAAAAATATATATATATATGGGCGTAAAATGTAAATTTAGTATAAATATTGGTAAGGTCAGGTAAAATACATTAACAGCTAATGATTTAAAATAAAATGGAAAGTCCAAAAAGTTGTACCCTACTTGATCAGATTAATAAAAACTCAGCTAAATTGATCTTCGTAAAATTCCTCTGTAGTATAATAGGCCCTCACAACCAAGAACTCTTTCACTTCTTTTCTGAATCTGGATACACTCTGTATTTCTTTTAAATTGCTGGGTAGGTGATTGAACAATTTTCTGCTCTTGTAAATAAGAGAATTTTGAGTAAGAGCTGACGTAGGGATGGGGAGTGCAATATGGTGTCTTAAACGTGTATTATATACTGACGAGTTGTTTATATCATTTCTGTATTTCTTGTGAATTAGACATACTGTCTCTAAAATAAAAAGACCTGCCAGTGTTAAAATCCTTTGCTCTAAAAACAATGGTCTACATGAATCGCGGTATTTGGCTTTACATAAATATCTAATGGCTCTTTTTTGAAGGGTAAAGACCATTTCAAACAGTTGCTGTGAACATATACCCCAAAAGCAAATGCCATAGCGTAGATGTGACTCTACTAATGAAAAATAAACCTGCCTAGCATCAGCAATATCCAATTCGTGAGAAACACTACGTACAGGAAAGCAACCCGATGCTAAACTTTTACACAACTTGTTAATGTGGCTTTCGAATCTTAACTTTTCATCAATAAATAATCCCAAGAACTTATTTTCCGCGGCATTGCTAATTATTCCATCATCTAATGAACCCTCCCTGATGTCACATCTGAATGATACGATGTTCGTTTTGTTGACATTGAATGATAGGAGATTTGCATCACACCACTCTTTCACCCTTATTACATCCACACTGATGTGATCGAATAGATCGGCTATTGATTTATCGTGCCATAGGATTGTGGTGTCATCTGCAAACATTGTGAATTTACCCTTTTATTTTATTTTGTCAAATATTTTGTCAAATATATTTATGTATTCACCATGTTTCCTGCTATAAACAGATGTTATTTCTTGGGAATAATAAAGTTGATTGATTAATTAATTTTACATAAATACCTTACTGCTCTCTTTTGTAACACAAATATCATATCGAATAAAAATTGACTGAAAGACCCCCAAAAACAAATTCCATATCTTAAAAGGGAGTCGATAAAAGCAAAGTACACCATTTTCCCCATATCTTTACCAAGGTCCTGAGATGTCTTTCTATCTGTAAAACATCCAGAGGCTAACTTTTTCCTCAATTTGTCAATATGTTCTTCAAACCTCAATTTATCGTCAATGTGCAAACCCAGAAATTATGGTAGAGACTTCTTATTACTTAATTACCAAGAAACAATTCTTATTGCAAGTTGCAATGAAAAGTGAAGATGTTCGTTTTCGAAATATTCAATGAAATCATATTGAAATCACACCACTCTTTGACTCTTGTAATATAATCAACAATAATTTGTTGCAATTCCGATACATCTTGATTGTGCCACAGAATCGTCGTGTCATCAAGCAAACTGTGTGAATTTTTCTTGAATATCAATAGACGCTAAATCATTCATATAGAGCAGAAAGAGAACTTGGCCCAGCACAGACCCTTGAGGTACTCCACACTCAACTTCTAATTTATCCGACACAATATTATTGATAGATACATTTTGAGTTCGTCCTGACAAATACTACTGAAACCATTGTAGGAAGGACTATATCTCTAAACCCATATCTTTCCAATTTTTCAGCAGAATTTTGTTGTTCACGTAATCGAACGCCTTTGTCAGATCACAAATACTGCTGCGGCATCTTCTCTATTATTGAGTTTGAGATGACATGTTGTAACAGATTGAACATTGCATTACCTGTACTTTTTTCACTTTGGAAACCAAACTGGACACAATTAATAATTAAATTTTTTTTTTTTTGCAATTGCATACCTCGTTGGTCCCAGCACTGGGACCAAACGCCCCATAAGTCGAAACTTGTGCGGGGTTAGGTATACATACAAACACAAACATCCATGGCCTAACTAGGATTCGAACATATGTCTCGGGTGGGAGCCCCATACGAACTCAGCGCCTTCACGCTCTCGACCACCGAGCCGCCTGCTTACTTAAGGTACATGTAAAGCGACAAATTTCGCGTTTCTGATCTGTCAGATGTCGCTAGTGCTCCAGGTGTTACTTGATGTATGCAACCATAATTGCCCTACTTTTGTGTTTCATAGGGTAAAAATTTTGCAGAACCCTTCCGAAATATGCAGATTCCTTCGTTGTCTCTGTAAAATACATACCATTGTTGCCATAGCTGGTAATAGGTCTTAGACTTGCGATATTTTTTTGCAAATTGCATGGTATATACTGATATTGCGCGACATTATAATTATCTGATCTTTATTGTCTCCGGTGGGTGAAGGAGTAGAATTGAATTTTATATTAGCATCTATGAGAATATACATGTATATTTCGTGAGGATTCGATGCAATTAAAAAAGGCGACACATAAACACACAATAAATATAATAACAATTTCATAATCATAGTGAGACGATGTGTTGTCATAGCGCGAACGCATAGATGAAAAGATCGGCAATCGCCTTCAAGGTCATTTTCTCGGGCGCAAGGCGGCTAGGCGGAAGCTTTGACTTTGAGGTTCGAAGCGATGCGCTAATGAGCGTCGGCGTCGGCCGCCTCTTCTGTTTCGGGTATCGGGTATTTAGGAGATTTTACGAGGGTTAATTATTATTATGAATCGTTCATATTTCAGTGATAACGTTCGCTACAGGGGTGAATGGAGAAACACTAGTGTGGCTCATTTATACTTATTTGTTTGTATATGAATGGAATATATGGAATTGGTATGGAATGATAATGATATTTATAATATACACGGTGGTCCAAAATTGCCTTCCGATGTATTTCTGGGGGAATACATTCTTGATGACATTATTGTAATTTTTCAAGTGAAAACTTTAGGCGCGTTCA